TCATAAATTGTATTTTTTACATACATTTCAATGTGAAATTGCATGTTAAAAATGTAGTTTTAATTTAAAATTATTTTCAAAATGCGATTTTAAAAGGCAAGTTAACTTCCCAAATAGTTTGAAAAGTAGGTCAATTTTTTAAATTTTTTTTAAGAATATTTTTTTAAAAAAAACTCATAGTTTGGGATCTGGGTTGTTTTTTAGTTTTTTAGAGCTCGTTTGGCATAAAAAAGCTAAAGGTTTTTTTTGGTTAAAATAGTTACAAAATGACAAAATAGATTTTTTAGTTCAATAAGACAAAACATCACATCCAATTCATAATTATTTTATTTTATTTTCTTACAAAAGTCAAAAAAAGGCAAAAAGTTTATCCCAAACAAAACTTTTTAACCCCAAGTTAAAATAGCCAGAAAGCCAACTCATATCCCAAAAAAACCCTTAATTATTTAGTTTGGGATTAAAAAATTTTGTTTAGAATGAATTTTTTTATTTTTTGTGAGAAAATAATAAAATTATTATAATTTAAATATGATATTACTTTATTAATTTTTTAATTTATTTTATTTTTTTTATAATTATTTTAGTCCCATAACCTTACGTCAAACAAGTACTTTAAATAATTATTTAGTTTTGGTAAATTTTATTTGTGAAAAATCAACTGGAAATTGAGAGTAGCGTTCACATGTACCAACCATACTCTAAAATATGTCAAAGTCAAATATTAAGGATATATTATTAATTTTTACAAAATGTACTGCCTTTAAATTTTAACATATTGAAGATTGAATTTTTATACTATATGAGTACGAAAAAAATTTGACTTGTACAATTCTATTGATTATGTTTGCGTTTTTTTATACGTCATCGTAATACTTAAAATCATAAATGTGAATTAGCCGGCGGGTGTGTGCCGAAAATCCCTTCGTTGCCTAAGTCAACAAGCAAACTAAGCAAATAAAAGCTCTCTAAATTCGGGATTAATGAATGCAATACATGACATTAGGGTTTGGTTTGAATTTTTGTAAATTTCGCATGGTACAATCCTGAGAATCATCTTAGGAATCACATTCCTAAAAGATAATACTTATCCTTTAATACCCTCCTCACTACAAGTCAAGTGAGATGGTACAACTCTTTGCACGACTTCCAGCTGAGCAACCGAACTACTTTTCTCTATCCGCCACTAACTTAGCCATACAAACACACAGCACTGTGGAGGATTTGCACGGCGCGCCACCATGCTGACGTTGCGTGACTCTTTCCCTAGTTCGGTCAAAATTTCATTCTCAGCTCCGTTTGACCGCCTTCCATATAGCTCGGTCTAGCATTGACCGCCTTTAGAAAGTAACGCGATACAAAAATATATGAGCATTTACCAATCCGATCAAACTCCTTTGACCAGCTTGATCCTTGCATGGCCCAAACCAAACTATCTCCAAGCTATAGCTGGGCCCATCATATGGCTCAAGCCTTAAAACCACTTCCACCTAGTTCGGCCCAATTTAACTATACAAATTACCGTCTCATATATCATGTACTACCTTTGTTGATTGGGAGTAGTGTTCTCATTTTCAACAAAAACATGAACCTAGAGAATTTGAATATAACTTAAGTGGTTGTGTTTCTAAATTTTTAAAATAAAATTTATTATTCAATTGGCAAGTGTTAAATATCTAATTGTGCTAATCTAGCTTAGACATTCATCTTATTTAATAATAAAAAAATACATAAATTTCAAATGTTTTTCTCTTAACAAAATAGGATATAGAATATAGGTGGATAGATAAGATTTTTCAAATATGGATCCTATTAATAAATTTTACAAATTTTGAGCCAATGTTCTCTCTAACTGTAGAGTGAAGCAACGGACAAAACAATCAGGTCTGTGAAACACGCCATTAATCCACTTTTCGTAATTTAAATAGTTTATTTTTGTAGTTTTTTTACACAATTTTATGTGATTTATTTGTAAAAATACAAATATGATTTTAAAATATATTATCTATTTAAAAAATAAATATAATAAAATCATATAATTAGGATTTATTTGACATTCTTCATAACAAAAGTATTTATTTGGCTCATATCACTTTTTTTTTTTACATTTATTTTTTTAAAAGGTCAAAAACACACTTATTTAAATTATTTTAAATATCTCGTTCGAATTTTTAAAAGGGAGATTTTTTTTAAGGTCCCTGATATTAAGATTTTATAGCATCAAGGACATTAAATATTTTTATGATGTTTAAAATCCCTTAACATTGATTCAGAGAAATTTCAATCTCAAAGAAATTCTCTCCAGAGAAAATTGAAATTCTCTAGATTCAAACCAGAGAAAATTGAAATTTTTTTGAGTACCAAAGAAATTCAGAAAAAAATTTGTGGAGAGAAAATTTGTGTGGCTATCTAGGAAAATTCCCTGACTTCACAAATTTCTCTGGCTCTTTTTTAATTTTTTGCATGTCATTTATAGTGCAAAATTCCAAAACTCACCATCTCATCTTTTCAATCACTGACCTCTATAAAATACATCAAACCTTTGATAGCAATGGCAAAATTTAACAACTTCAATGACATCTCCGTTGAAGTACCCAACTGCTATAACATAATTATGATAGCTCAAAACAACAATTCTATTGAATCCAATGCATCAAGATCCAAAATAACTATTGTCTTGTATAGTTTGAATACAAAAAAGTCTTCTGCTTTGATTAATACTTTTGAAGCACTGAATTATCAGTTAGTTCAGGCATCAACTATAGATCCTTTGAAAAGTTTCCCAAACAATGTTGTTGCTCCTCTTCCAAAAATCTTCTTCTTCTTCTTCTTCTTCTTCTTCTTTAACTTTGTTCTATGTCTTTGTTCTCCTTTTAGACATTGGAGAAGATGTGATAAGGTTGCCAGAGAATGTGACAATATCAGTGGTGATAATGTTTGGAGATTTAATAGTGGATACAGGTAACAACAACAATCTTGAAACAATTTTTAAGGTCAATTATTCTCCTTATGGCAAGGTCTCCAGAGAAATTTTTTTCTCTGCCTTCCTTATACTTCCCACTCTCCAGAAAATTTTTAAAATTTCTCTAACCTTCCTCTCTAGAGAAATTTAATAATGTCTAAGGTCTAAGGTTTCTCAAATTAATTCAGAGAAAATTCAACTTCACAGAGAAATTCTTAGAGAAATTCTGTACATTTCTCTAGACTTTACTTATAATTTCTCTGTGTTTTTTTATCAAAACAGATTGTAAGCCATTTAGACAACAATTAACCATAGAAAATTGAACAACCACCATTTTGACTAATTTTCTCTGAGCACAAAAGAAATCTAGAGAAAATTATGTAGAAAAAATTTGTGCGGCTTTGTATGACTCTATCTACAGAAATTTGTGTTAAAGACAATTTGTGTGGCTTCGTGTGGCTCTATCCAGAGAAAATTTGTATGGCTTTGTGTGGCTCTATCTAGAAAAAATTGTATTAAAGAAAATTTGTGTGACTTTGTATGGCTCTCTCCAGAAAAAATTGTGTCATAGAAAATTTGCGTGCTCTGTCCAGAAAAACTTGTGTGAGGCTAATGAAAGCATAATTCAATGGTTATCATACATGTTTATGCGACAGAGGGAATTGATGATGGTAAAAATGGAGTTAAACCCATATAAAAATATAACTAATAAGAGACAAGATCACAAAAATTAGAGAAGCTTTAGTTCAAATAGGTGCTCAATTCAAGTACCAAATGCTGATACTTTCATGTCTATTAAGTGACCAGAAATGCAATAAAAAAAGGAAATAACAAAGAGAACAATGGTAATACCACTTTGCTCACTGAAAACAACTTCGTTGGAGGTACAAAACAGAATGAACTTGAACCATAAAACCCAACAGCACAAACCCATGAAATCGACACAACTCAAGGAAACCTCGTCAAGAACAAGACCACCGAACCAGCTTCTCCCAGGCTAGTTGGATCACTTTACGGCGGTCTTTGGTGGTTCGGTCCGGAACACATTCCGCTGTGTTGACGTCATTTTCCGGCATTAGGAGACAGAAATCTGAGCCAATCTACATCGATGGCAACTTCAATGGCAATGAAACCGACTCCGACAACACAATGACAACCTCTGCGATCAGCTCGTTTTGCTTCGGCTGCCCGTCTTCAAGTTACTTGCCAGCGAAGATCAACCTCTGCTGGTCTGGTGGGATAGCCTTCTTATCTTGGATCTTAGTCTTGACATTGTCAATGGTTTTAGAACTACAAGCAAGACCAACGCAGAGTCAGCGAAAATCAACCTTTGCGGCTCGTTTATGCTTTGGGTTCGATTCCTATGAGTATAAGGGAAGAAGAAAACCAGAGCTTGAACTCACGAAAGGGATGGCGGTGATTGTGGTTAGTCGGTGGCACTACAGCGACGGAGGTAGAGAGAGAGAGATATATGCAACGGTAAATAAGAGACGCAACGATCGAGAACGAGATGTGTAGAGGTCAAGAATGAGAATAGAAAAGAAAGAAGAGAAAGAGAGTTGGAGTGAGGGACCTTAGACATCATAAAATAATATTATGAATATCTTTCATTACTAAAAATAGAAAAAGGACCTTAGACTAATTTTTTCTTTTTAAAATCGTCTTATTTTTTTATTTTTTTATTGTGATGGTTGTTGTTCTTATTTATAGGAAAATGTTTGGTGACCACAAATTCTGTGACTCAAATGGTCTGAAACTGTCAAAACGACATCGCTTTAGCTTGTTTTGCACCCAAAACGATATCGTTTTAACAGTTTCAGACTATTTGAGCCACAGAATTTATGCCCCTAACATTGCTGTTATTTATAACATCATGTCCCCTTAATATTCGGGGTCATAAATGTAATTGCGCAAAAACGAGTAATTGCGGAAAAACGAAGTTGCGGAGAAAAAAGAGAAGACAGTGGAAGAGAGAGAGAGAGGGAGCCTTATCCATTAAAATACTACATTACAACTACCTTTATAAAAAGCATATAGTAAAATATCAAAATATCAAAATGATCATGCAAAGCAAAAGACCAAAGCAGAATCAAACAAAGCGAACAAAATACACTGCACTTCTAGAGAGAGAGAGAGAGACAGAGAGAGAGAGAAATAAACACGAACGAACAATCGATCGATCGATCTTCCATTAATGGCGACCTCAAAGAGCTACTTCGCTAGGGCAAACTACAGGTTCCTCTCCAGCGACATAGCCCCTCCGATCGTTTCCGAGTCCGCGTTCGAGCTCGACGAATCGGACGTTTGGAGCTCCGCCCGTTCGTCTTCGCCGGAGTTTCGGAAACAGGTGGCGAGTTCTCGAGTCTCGAAGAAGTCGGCGGCAAAGCGAGGAGAGGCCGGAGCAGCGGCGGCGTTGCCGGTGAACATACCTGATTGGTCGAAGATACTGAAGGAGGACTATAAGGAGAATCGGTGGAGAGAGAGCAACGATGAGGTGGTGGAGGAGGAGGACGACGACGACGGAGATGGTGGTTGGGGGAATCGGATTCCGCCTCACGAGTTTTTGGCGAGGACGAGAATAGCATCGTTCTCGGTGCATGAAGGGATAGGGAGGACTCTGAAAGGGAGGGATCTGAGTAGGGTTAGAAACGCAATTTGGGAGAAAATTGGGTTCCAAGATTAACTTCTCCATCATCGTCATCAGAGCCACAGCAAATGACTATATAATCACAACTGTGAGATATTATTATTAGTTGTTTGTTATTATTGTTATTATTATTGATTTCAGTTTTGTTTTTTGCTTTCTGAAATCTGTTATTTTATTTCAGTTTTGGTTGAACATACATATATATGCAGCAAATTTTAGTGCGTGTGATTTTGAACTTATGATGAGAGAAAATAAAGGAATGGCGGTTTTATTAATTTCCTTTTTTTCTTTTTTTTTTCCTTTTTTTTTTTTAATAAGAGTAGCTTCTTGGAAGCTCAAAACTTGTAATTAAAAAGCACTTACGGGTCCAGCTTGTCTCATGATCACGACTGGGCCCATCTAGTCCGGTCCATAGGCTCAATTTTTAGTTTTATTTTAATAATTTAAACTGTTTAATATGTATAATTGATTGAGTATTATATTATTGTAAAAAATTATATTGATCGGATATGAATAACTATTTGATCGGATCATTATCTGTCAATCGTTTATTTTTTTATCATTCATTTTTTTTAATACAAATCTAATCTGATTAAATAATTATTAATATTCAATCAACATAATTTTTTATAAAGATATAATATTTGACGAGTTCTACCCATTAAACGATTCAGATTATTGAAACAAGACTTAAAAATGAGCCCATGTGCTGGACTAAACATATTCAGCCTCCGTTTGGGAAGTGGGTTGGCTTTTTGGCTTTTTTGGCTATTTTAGCCTGGGCTAAAAAGTTTGGTTTGGGAAGGGCTTTTTGGCTTTTTGGCTTTTTGGCTTTTTTGATTTTTTTTGTGAGAGAAGAGTGTAATGATTATGGGTTGGATGTGATGTTTTATTTATTGTGGCTAAAATAGCCTGTTTTGTCTTTTGTGACTATTTTAGCCCCAACCCAACTTGCCAAACACCACCTCAGTATTGATCTCAAAGACAAGCTGGACCATTTCTTATAACCAGTCAGTCTTGATTTGTTTAAATTAAGTATTTTTTGCCGCGTAGAAGCTAACACTCTTGACAATAGCATATCTAACCTTACATTTCTTTTTTTCTTTTTTCTTTTCTTTTTTCTATCAAATTTGTTCAAGAATTTAGGACTTTTTAATAATTTTTTTAGTTTTTTGGTTAAAATAAAAAGTATTTTTTTGGGTATATTTATAATATTTTTAAATTTTTTTATGAAATAATGTGTAAAAACAAAAAAAAAAGAATCTTTAATTTTTTAATATAAGTTATAAATTTTTTAATTTTTTTAATAATTTTTTTGACTTTTAAGTTAAACCTATTACTTTCTTCATATTAGTTTATTCCAATTGTAATAATTATTTTTGGGTATATTTATAATAATTTTTAAATTTTTTATGAAATAATGTGTAAAAACAAAAAAAAGAATCTTTAATTTTTTAATATAAATTATAAATTTTTTAATTTTTTTAATAATTTTTTTGACTTTTAAGTTAAACCTATTACTTTCTTCATATTAGTTTATTCCAATTGTAATAATTAAAATTTTCATCAAATGTTTTTGAAAATACCAAAACCTATTCAAATTTATATTTTTTTAAAATTGGATTTGGATCATGATTTGGGTTGAGATTTGTAAAGAAAAATAAAAAATATTTGTGAAATGAAAATAAATATGATTTATATTTTATTTATTTTTATTTTTTAAATTTCTATCTAAATTCGTAATATATCTTAGTCTCTTCGTTTTTTTTTTTTTTTTTAAAAAAAAAAAACCCAATTTTTTAATCCTTTGTGATAACTTCATGGCCTTGTTTAAGAGGGAAAGGGTCAATTTGGTAATTGAGGCTGTAGCTTTTGGACCTTCGGGTCAAAATGGTGGGGTTAGACTTTGATGTGATAGGGTTGGTGAGAAAAAGCAGAGGCAGGAACTCACCATAACTGACCTTTGGGAAAAGTTTGATTATCTGTGTAGAATGACAAATCTAACCTTGGTCTGTCCTTTTTGGTTCTGGTCTCAAAATTGCTATTCAAATTTATGGCACTTTTGTGGGCTACTAATATGGTATCATTTTCTTTTTATGTTCTTTTTATTATTTTTTTTTCTAGAATAAAAAAATACTTTTATTATTGTGTGAAAACAATTTTATTAAAATTCAAAACAAGTTTTTGTTTTTTTTCTTTAAATTAACAAAATGTTTGGAAAAGAGTTTGCTAAATAATTTTTTATTTAGCCAAAGTTTTGTTTTCTTTAGAAAATAAATAATGAAAAAGATGTGTGTTACCAGTAAAATATTTGTAAATTATGGATATGTGTTATCAGTAAAATATTTGTAAATTATGAAAAAGGTGATGGACATAATATTTTTAAATAAAAAAAATTCACATCATTCTACATCAAAATTTTGCACACATATTTTCTCTTTTAGAAATTATGAGGTTGATGATTGATATTTTGATTAAAAATAAAATAATCATAAGAAATTATATTATTTTATATATAAATTTTATTTGTATATCATTGCTCTTTAATAAATTTACGACCAACATAATTTTAATATATATTATGATCATATTTTACTATTATAATTATTTTTGTTTAATTTCTGGCAAAAATGATTGTCGTTTTGTGTCCTCTCCATCTCAAATTGTTTATCTAATATAAAAAATGAGAATTTTAAAATAATATACTTTTATATTAAATTTTTTTATCAAATTTTATTTAGTTCCTATCAAAACCGAGCAAATTAAAATAACAGGGACTAAATTGACACATTGTGTAAATTACATGGACCAAACTTACATATTGTGTAGACTTTCCGTCTACCAAACTTGACAACCGTTATTTATTGGACTAAAATGACACAATCTGTTAAATTAAGAGGCAAAATCGAGCAAATTGAAACAAATAAATTGACACATCGTGTAAAGTATAGAGACCATTTGCATAATTTACCCAATAAATTTATTATTGTTATTTTTTTGAAATTTGAATAGCACTTCTCTATATTTATAGATGTAAATAAGATGTCAAAATGATACATCTCATAAGGGAAGCACTATAAATGGTGTGTGCCGTATGCACATTATAACTAAAGAAAAAATAGCATAATTTCATACTTTTTGAGTTATAACTATATATAAAAATCAAAAAAATCAAAATCAAACAACATGCGAGGCATAACTAAAATAAGGTCATTACTAAAGAAGAAAATTGGTCATAACAAAAAAAAAAAAATGACATAACTCAAAATTGTCATTTATAATCTATATAATAAATTGTATGGTTTTGTTATACAAACAAACAAATGTTCAGCCAACTTATGAACTTCATAAAGTATCCCCATTCACATAGCTGGAAAAAAAAAAAATTTTGCCCATTTTCTCTCTCCTCTCTTTATCTCTTATCTCAAAATTTTCGCCCACTTACATTGAAAAGTGGTGCAGATTTACACATATATACAGGAGACACTTAAAAAAGTGCACAGTTTAAAAGATAAAAATACAATTATGGTTTAAAATAAATAATTGGACATGCATTTTCAAAAACACTCTACAATTATGGCTTAAAATACAAACATACGAAAACTAACAATTTAAAAAAAAAAAAAACACTTTACAAAAACCATTAAGAACTATACCGCTGGACATGCATTTTCCTTTCCCTTGCCCTTGGAAACATAAGACACATTTTCTTTTCCTTTCGACATTGCCTTTGTATTTTCCTTTTCCATTACCTTTAAAAAATAACCAAAGTATAAGAAATAACCAAAGTATAGGAAAAAAAATATAAATAAATAAAAAAAATGATAAGAAAGTGATTTTTGGGAGAGGCAAAACAACGACTAACTAATTAGCAATCAACGACTAACTAATTAAATTATAAGATTGTAAAATAAATACTTTTAATTAAATTAAAATATCAACCATATAAAAAAATTTTAACAACGACTAACTAATAAAGAATTACATAACATCTAAACCTAAAAAGAAAAAATAATGAAAATATCTAAACGGTAGATACATTTCAGTGTATGAAGTAATTGATCATCCGTAATATGATGCCAAAATACAAAAGAACTTATTGTTCAACAATTGAAAAAGTAACTCAAACAGTAAATCTAAATTTTAAAGATTCCTTAAGAGTATTATTGTTGTATAGGCTTTTTTTGATGAGTTGTGATTATATAAAATAATATAAGAAATGAAATATAATTTCATCTATAGAATCACTATAAAAATTAAACGATAAATCCATAATATAGCATAATATATAATTTTAATTGAATATGGAATAATGCAGGAAAAAATAAGAAAAAAAAAAACAACAACAACAACAACAATTTAGGGTTCGTCTGAGATGTGGGTTGGCTTTTTAATTTTTTAGCTTTTTAGCTATTTTAGCTTGGAGCTAAAAAGCCTTGTTTGGAATAAGTTTTTTGACTTTTTTAACTTTTGTAAGAGAAAAAGTAAAATGATTATAGTTTGGATGTGATATTTTGTCTTATTGAGCTAAAAAACTTATTTTGTCTTTTTGTAACTATTTTAGCCAAAAAATCTCATTATAGCTTATGTCAAACGAAGGCTTAATTATTGTTTGACAACATTACTTTTTTGCCTAAAAATTAAAATGTTGCTAAAAAAATTAAAAAGCCAACAACTTATACTAAAAATTCAAAGATTCTATTTTCTCTCTACTTTTTGTACATATTTTCATTAAAAAAAATCAAAAAATCATCCCATACATACTAGCCTTTTTTACATCTTATTTTAGTTAAAAAGTTAAAAAGTTACTAAAAAAATTTATTCCCCAACGAAGCCTAGTATTAAAAAAATCTTAATACCTTTGAAAGAATTAAGAAGAAAATTGTGAAATGCAAAATTGGTACTGGGTTTGTGAATTATCTCAATTTACTATAAAAAATATATGAAAAAGAAATATTTATCAAATAGAGTCCATATAAAATAACTAAAGTTAGTATAATTTAAATTAGGTTTGGGTTTATGTAAAACTTATATGTAATTAAAAAAATAAATGTTGACATAGCTCTTATAGAAAAAAGTAAGTCCTAATAATGTGTCACTTAAATACGGAAAAAAATTACTTTTAATAAAATATATATGATTACAAATACACCTCTTAGTGTTTGTTTAAAATACGAATTATTTTTTGTAATTTTAGAAATTACATTGTGTCTCTGAAAGTTTTAAATTGTATAGCAAATGACCATATTTATTAATAAATTATTAAGTTAATTAA